TGAAAAACTGATCAAAAAGTTTGTCACTAAAAGGCTTAATTTTGTGATTGTGAAAAAATTCCCAATCAATAGGGTAGGGCTTCAAAAAAAGGTTTAAATAAACATTTTGGGGGCCCTTTTAATGGGTAGTACTAATACTTCAAGTAAAACCTGAAAACTAAAATATTAAAAAAAAACTGAATATCTTTTCCTTCAACTGCCCCCCTAAAACCCGGTTATTTAAAAACAAAAAAAACCCCTTTACAAAAATTTAAAACTCCATATACATAATCATTTCCCTCAACCTTACCTACTAAATAAACAACAACAAACAAAAAACCCCAACCATTTAAAACTTTTAAAAATTTTATAATTAAACTCCCAAAACTTACTTTATAATTTCTTTTTTGTATAATATTTTTTTTGGTTACATTTTTTTTTGATTGGACCAGATTTGTTTTGGGTGTATTTTAAACCAGTCTTTAGATTAGAATTAAAGCCCAAAAAAGATTTTTTTATAGGTTTTTTTTTGTCCTAACAATTTTTATTACTGCAAAATTAATTATCCTTTTTAGAAAAAAATAAAAAATTTTTGAATTTCTACGTCGTTTAAATCCCCAAAATTTTTTGGTATTTTCCAGGGTTTAGGGATCCCGAAAAAAAAAGTCAAGCCTAATTTTATGCCTATAGGAAATTTTAATGGTTGTAACCCCACCCAGGAAATACACCGTCCCTGCCAATGACTGTGAAACAAAAATTAACGTTTTGCTGATGGAGATTGTGGTTTCTTTTTCTGTCCATCAGTGAAACAGGTTCTTGCTCTCCTATTTTTTGTCCATACGAACACGCACATGCTTTAAAATTCCTCAATTAGGTTTTTTTTCCCCCTTTTTCTTAAAATACTTCTTTTTCTTTTTATTTCTTTTATTTTCCTGGGGGAAATGGAAAAGAATTTCCTCCGTAAACCATCTGCGTTGGGCGCTAAAATGCCGGGCCTTAAACCCCTTCTCCCGTATCTTTCAAAAAAGGGGTCTTTTAAAACTGGGTGCTTTTTCTGATGTAGTGCGGTGACAAGAAACAAATGACGATTAAATGAAAAAAGGGGTTTCCTGGGTTGCGAAACAAACTGAAGGGTGGGGTTTCATGGGGGGGAAAAAAATTTGGGATTAAATTTTGATATCTGGGGTTGGCAAAGGAAGGGGTGCAGTTTTTAAAGATCTTTGGAAAGAAAAAGGGAAAATGTTGTTTTTAAGAATTTATGTGTTTAAATGGTTGGTCAGGTTTTGGGGGTCATAATAACTGTTGCCCTGGGGAAGAAGGAATTCAGGGAAAGAAAGAGTTTTGGGGTTTAAGTGAATGTTGACCCCCGAAAAATAAAGGGGAATTGTTAACCCCGTCTGTTTGGGGCTTTAGAAGGGGGGTGGAATTTTGGGGGCCGGGTAAAAGATAATGGGGGAGCCCCTTTTTTGCTTTTTGTATAGAAGGGGTTTTTGTTAAGTAATTCAATTTTTAAGAAAAGGGATAAAAAAGTAACACGTATGGTGGCGAAATGACAAATTTTTGGATTTTTTATTTAAAAAAACTTTTTGGCCGGAGTCAGTTTAAAGGGGCCACGAATATACAATCACTTTCTGTTGAGCAAAACAGATTGGTAGTGGGAACCCCGAAGTAAACATCAGGGAAGGGGGAAGGGAATTTTTTAAATAAAAAGGGGAGTTTAGGGGAAATTATAAAAAGCTATTGGGGATGATGGGGAAAGAGAGATGCAATGGGGGAAGGATTTTGGGAGGTTAAAAATGTAAGGTTTTGGTGAGAGAAATTTTTGGGGGACAAGGAAAAGGGGGTCAGGAGGGGGGGAGGTTTTGGGGTTTTATGAAAAGTAAAGGAGTATAAAGGGAGAAAAAGTTAGATATAAAATTTTAAAAAAAGGATAAAAGGGAAGATATATGGGAAAAAAAAAGAGGGTTAAAGAGGGGGGAAAATGTAAAAGACAAAATGGAGAGTGGGGAAAATTTTCAACAAATTTTGTTGAAAATAAAAAAATTTTTTTGGATAAAAAGAAGAAAACCTAGGAAAAAAAGGATTTATAAAAAAGGGAGGAGAGTTATTAAATTTGGGGAGTTTAGAGGAATTGGGGAAGATGGGGGGAAATTTTGAGAATTTTTTTAAAAAGTTGAGAGAAGGAAGGGGAAATTGTGTAAGGGAAGGAGGAAAAAACATTTGAGGAGTAAAAGAGTTTGTAGGGAGGGAAGTTTGGGAGAAAAAAAAGGGTAAGGAGGGGAAGATGAAAAGAAGAAATGAAAAAATGGGTATGTTTTAAAAAGGTTTGAAATTTTAAAAATATTTTGGGAAAAGGGTTAAAAAGGAAAACCCAGGAGGGAAAAATGATTTCCTTTTTAAAAGGAAAGGGGATAAAAGAGAGGAAAAAAAGGGAAAAATTTTGAGTTAAAGGTAGTAGGGGTGACGGAAGCCCCGGGGGGAAACCTCCCCCGTGATGAAAAGAAAACCTTTAATTGGGGTTTTAAAATGGTAATAAAATGGTGCCTTTTTTTAAATTTAACAAAATTTAGGGGGTTTGTATTTATAATTAGAAATAACAAAATGTACAAGCAATAAAATCAATTGGGGTTTTCTTTATTTTTTTATTTTTACAGACCTCTTTTCTCCAGGGGAAGTGGAAAAATTTTTCCTAAGATGCGTGTTTTTTGACCAAAATGCGGGGGGGGAGCCCCTTCCCTTAATTTACTAAAAGTAAAAGGAAAACTTTGTTTTTTTTTCCTTTTGGGCCCCCTGCCCTTTATCCCGGGGAAAAAAAAAGGGGGAAAAAATCTTTGTTACCTGCGTGTTGTAGAGTTTTAAAATTGAAAAAATTGGGTAAACGGGATAATACAATGAAAAGGAGGCTTTGGGTGGGGGTTGGACCGGTGTTTGTTTAAAAAAAAAGGAAAAATATTTTGATTAAGGGAAAGTTTTGTGGTTTATGGATTTTGGAAAAGGCGTATGAAGGGTTTTGGATAGGGGGGTGTGGCAGTGTTGCAAGTGTAGGTTAAAGGGGGTTTTTTTAAGAAAGCATGAAGGTTTTTAGGGAAGTGAGGTTCAATTTGAGTAGTAGAAAAGAGGGAAATTTTTTCCCGTAAAAGTAGGCCTTAACAAGGGTTGTGATGTCACCTGGGTTTTTTAAAAATTTTAATGGGGGTAAGGAAGAAACGAGGGTCTTGGGAAAAGGCGTGGAGGTTTAAAAAAAATAAAGAATCACACACAAATGGGGAGTTGTCACAGCTTCCTTTTCGATGACACTGGCTTTTTTGGGGGTTTGAAGAGAAGCTGCAGAGATTGGGGGAATTGGTAGGGTGGAAAAAAAGAAAAAATTTAAAAATGAAAACAGGAAAGAGTAAGGTTAGAGGGTAAAAAAAGATTAGGGGATGAAAAATTGAAAATCAGTTGGAGGGAGAGAGAATGGAGGAGGGAACGTTTTTGATTTTGGGAGTGGACGTGTCAGCGGATGGGTCTATGAAAGATGAGGGGAATCATAGAATTGAGAGGGGAAAAAGGTAGTGGTGCACTTTGGAGTTTGGGGACAAAGAACTTTGTCCTTGAGGCAAAAAGGGGAATGTTGGAGATAGTTTTTCCAACGTCTTAATGGGGTGAAACGTGGGTGATGAATGTTCAGCGAGGGGAAGGTGAGGCAGTGGAATTCATGTCTGAGGGGAAAAGTGTGTGGAAAAAATCAGAAATTCGTAGTTGGAAATTAGGGGGAGGTGCGGGGTTACCAAAATTTGTTTTCCAAGGGCGAGGAAGGGTTTTTTGAGGTGGGTTTGGAATGAAGAGAATGGAGCGAAACAGAATGACTTTAAGAGTGATCAGTCTTAGGGAAGGAAAAAGGCGGGGGGGGGGTCGGCCTAGGAAGGGGGTTGAGGAGGGGGAAAGGAGGGTTTTTTTTTGTGCGAGGGGGTTTGGGCTTCCAGAAGGGATGCGGGGCGTGTTTTTTAGGAGTGAATGGAGAAAATGGTTTTTTAAAACTTGACGTGCTTTTTGGAGTTGAGCAAAATAACTTTTTGAAGGGTTCAGGGGAAACGGCAGGCCGGACTTTTTGTCCTGGAGATGGGAAGTCAGTGCTGCACTCGAAGGAGGGGGGTTAAAGTTGCAGTTTAAAAACTGTAGTGTAAAGCACCCCTTTGGCAAGACGTGAGGGGTGAATGATGGTGAAAGTTTTTTTTTTTTCGGGGCCACCCTGCCTTGGTGGGGAAACGGCCCGTGTGATAATAAAAAAAAAAAAAAATTATTTTAAAAAAAATTTGCTCTAATCTTTTTATTTGACAAAGATGAGCACAAACTGAATCAAGTTATTAAAATGTACGTCAAGTTTTTGATTGGAAGACATGCATTTTTTAAAAATAATTTTTCTCTTATTTTTTCCCTTTTTTTTTCAGAAATTACCCATTACATTTAGGGGGGGGATGCTAAACCCCCAAGGGATATGCGTGCCAGGAAAAAGGAGGGATTGGGTTTGATTAAGGAGGAGAAAAGTCCCAATCCTTTGATCAAAAGCCCCTCACTGGGTTTAATGATTAGAAATTCATATTAAAAACATGAAAACTTTCAAAACAAACAGATAACTCCCACGACCCCATATTGAAGAAAATCCAATTGGTTCTATAATGAATTTTTGGGGCAAAAAACTCCCGGTGTTTCCCAAAAAGGCCCTGCATGGGTCTTCCGGTTTAAAACGGGGAGCAACCAAAGTCTAGAGCTTGATTTGATGGGATTCCGACACACACAAATGTTCCCAGCTGGGAATACACAGTATTGGCACTTATAAAAAATTTCTTATAATTTTCAGAAAGGCCATATAGTAGGTAAAAGTGTAAAATTTTAAAACTTTTTTATGGAAGAAAAATAAGTTAGGGGCTATATTCAACTGCACCTGATATGTATGAAATGTAAACAGAGCCTACATAACTTAAATATTTCCTTATTAATTAAAATAGCATAAATCCACATGTCACTAGGAATAGTACAAGCATTTGTGAAGTATCAGAAAATAATATCCAACTGTTTATAACTCACTTTCAAATCAAGATGCACAATAAGATTTTTATGCATGTAATCGACTCCTTCACAGATTTGTCTTACAAAGAGAATACAATCTCGCTCTGTCAAGGCAAAGTCGTCGGCCACAACACGTTCAAATAGTTCCCCTCCTGATATACTGCAATAAGTAAGTTTATGAAATAAAAAAAAAAATTATTACGTGAACATTCAAACAATGACAATTTTGTCTAAAAAAAAAGAAAATACTTTTATTTGGTTTGTATGAGATTTCTCGTCTAGTTACACTGTTCAGTAAATGCAGAATACTGTTATAGATATTCTCTGGTTCTGCTAATACTGGAAAAAAGTATACGTACACTAATATGTTATATAAAACACGGCCTACTCATATTCAAATGCAGAAATTATTATAAAGTGCTAAACCGATCAAATGCTGAAAGCCCAACAAAAAAATTTAAATTAACATTCTTACAGTCATCAACTTCTGCACATGTCCAATTTGTTAAAAATATAACCTGTTACAAGTACATAGACTGAAGCCAACTGCTTGCTATACCTGTACATTAATTCAGAGTAGTGTATGTAAATTAGCTCAAACCAAATTCTATAAGGTTCTGATTGTGTGTCAGCATTGTTATTTTTCTATGAACTTAAATTATACTAATAAATCTAGCAATTTCTTAGGAGAATGAGTTGTAAAACTAATTTAAGACCTTCACATCGAGTGATTATGCTATAAAATGAGTTGTATGCTTTGTCCAATCGACTACATTTACAGGAATAATAATACTGTATAATCAAATTAAGTACTAAATGCAAAAAGTCTTATTTCTAGTGAGCAAGACATTATCAGTATTAACAAGGCTGAATTAAAAATAATTTTTCTTGTTATTTTAACAAATGTAGTGACCGTTTGTATGTTAATTTTATGCTTGTGTGATAAGCAAATCTTGAAGCATACTGTTTTTGTCCAATCCTATCCCTGTTCTTATTTCAGCATTCCTTCATCTTCCATATTTTGTTAGGCTTATACTATCTCATATTTTGTATTGTAATTTAAGTAACTAACAGCACTCGCCCTACTAGATAATTATGTATTTTTTTTTTTTAACATGTTTCTGTTTCCCACAGAGGCAGGGTGACCCAAAAAAGAAATGCTTTCATAAAGTTTTTCTTTTTTTACTTTTAGTAATTTATACAGAAGGGGTTACTAGCCCCTTGTTCACAGCATCTTAGTCCCCTCTTACAACACACATGGCTTATGGAGGAAGGATTCATTTCCACTTCCCCATGGAGTTATATTTTCTCTATTGTAATTTTTTATACAAATTAACATGTAATGTTTGTTTTTAAGTTCCTACTAAATATTAGACCCTTCGAGAAAAAATAAAAATGAAAATGAAATATTGTATGTAACATCAAAGTTTAAGTCTGATATAGTTTAAGTTTTGCCCTCAACAATGAGCATTTGTGAATAAGTAAGAGCATTATTAAAGTGATGTGTCATATATAATGGGGAACGAGAGGAGTCACTCTTGCTACTGCGTTACTCCATCACCCTCCTTCCCTCACTAAAGGAGGGAGGGAATGCAACAGGAATGGAGGTGAAGGGGAAGAAAGAGGGAGGAAAAGAAATAGAAGAGTGACTTGAGTACTGTACTATGCACTTCTATTAATCTAATGAAAAACTAAATGAGATTGGATATGTAATATTATGGTTGGGAAACATACCCCTGAGTAGAACATGGGTATCTATGGGAAAGATAAGGTCAGAGCTCTAAACCCCTGGGTAGCAATCCTCAGGAACTCTAACATCATTAAATTGCTGTACATACATTGGGAGTCTGTATTAGCATACAAGCTACCCAATGGTACTCTACATAATTAACCAATCGTTTCCATACTACAGCTGTTAAAAGCAAACTGCTCATATTAAACAAGCAACTTTTTTAATGATCAATTTCCTACGTGGGTTCAAATGACTGAGCCAAAATAAGGGCAGATAAATTCACTTCATGCCTTGGGTAAGTGCAAATTAAAAAAAAAAAAATCTTTAAACATACATACATGGATATTACAATGAATGAGTTAAAAGTCTGCACGAGTACAGATCTAATGCAGCTCTGGGATTATCATCTTTATGTTCTAAGTAAAGTTCCTTGTTATGAAAAGCATTTCATTCAGACCTACTTAATACTAGTGCACATATTTAGACAAGAATCATAATGCATAATTAGAGCAAAAATATTTTCTACAAGCGGTTTAAATTACAATGGTGAGGTAGCAACTGAATAAGTTACCAGTTTAAGATACAACTGGACAGAGTAAACATCAATGTTATGATTATAAACATTATGAAGTTCAGGATTTTTTTTTTTAAGTTATTGGAAACTAAAGTTTTTTAATTCTTCAAAGAACAATGTTCCAAATTTTTGGTTCTTTGATTTGCTTCAAGATTTTGTTGGTCTTACACATGGAATATCAAAGAGAGAGATTTATTTCTGTTGTCTTATACATGTTGCAGCTCAGGGTTAATATCTGTATTGAGTGTTCTGCATGTAATAGTGTAGTAGTAGTAGTATAGATGCTTTACATATGAAGTTCAAATCTCTAAATATTAGGGATGATTGGTGATGTTTGGAATGAGATTGAGTTATTATTCTAATGGTAGAGATTTGTTGGTTTATGACTGGGTTCAGATGATTTACTGTTCTAGAACCCCATATGCATATACCATAGATGAGGCAAGTATAACCACTGCCAATATATTGTAAATATACTTAAAACTAGTTACTAAATTGACAAATATCGCTTACTATTCCATAACCATAACCATTTCTCTTTGTTGCTCATATGCTGCTAGAAGTTGAAGAAGTTTTGGATGCCGCAGAGAATTCATGATATCTATCTCCTCACGAACCTGCAAGACCAATGATAGTCATTACTGAAGTTTAGGTACACAGTTCAGTATTCGGGTTATGGTAATCACTTACTGATATAGCACCAGTCATTATATTAATTTTGAGCACAAGTGGTAATAATGATCAGATTGCATGTAATGGGATTACAGATAATAATAATATACACTACACCATTACCTTTTCTTTTTCCCTAGCATTTCTGGACTTTATAATTTTTGCAGCTCTTCTTGTACCATTAGCTTTCTCTGTTACTCTGTACACAATTCCAAAACGACCTTTTCCTACTTCCTCGTGCATGCTATACTTCTTATCAAAAAGATTACCAGGTTCAATCTCAACATTCAACGGTGCAAATGCAGTTTCATGATCTACAAAGAAAGAATTGCATACAAATACAAGTTGTATCCATTGCATGTTGGGTCATAAAAAACTATTTAATGAAATTTAATTATCCAGACAAGTACTGTAATAATAAATCACAGTTGGCATAAAATCAGTAAATTTTTTAAACTATTCAAATCTCTGTGTCTGACAAACACACATTAAACCATACTTTCTGACATCTATGTTTGGTAAAGGTTTATCAGTCATATAATAGCTAATATGTAAACCAAGAAAAAATGAGACAGTTTAAACATTGTAAATGGCAAGTATATTAATGGTAAATTACCTTCAGGCTCAGGCTCTTCCTCATCAACAGGGTCACTAGTGGTGACTGGAGTGGAGGGCTTCGAGGGCTCTGACACCCCATGCACATTCTGGGCTCGCACACGAAACTCGTATTGGCAGTTTTTCTCCAGGCCCCGCGCAATGTATGATGTTGAATGGCACCTAAATTGTAAATTTTCATACAAAATATCTGATATACTTTTAACTGAATATATTCATATATCACGATGTCTAAATTTCAGCCACTCAGTGTAGCTTACTAAACACAAGTTATTAACTAGACAGGAGGATATTTTATTACAAAAAAGCACAAGTCGCCCAGTCTATGGTGAGCTTAAGGTATCAAAGGTAAGCAACTGCAGGTACTCAACAGTATATGATACTTTAAAATTAGAACCACCATTAACTAATAAAAAATTTCTTCAGGGGATTTTTAGATATCAGCATATAAAAATATTATACCTTACATTCATTCTTTGCAAATAACAAGAATGAAGTTAAGCTCTGAAGTAAGATTAAACAATTCCAAACCAATTTTCAACTAATTTATCCCTGTAAAGTTAATGGTACAAGATTACATAGGAGAAAGTCAGGCTGCTTCTTATGTTTTATGCAGTATTGTGTAAAATCAGGTCTTGCAGAAACAAGCATTTGAACTGTCACATCTTTGCTAATTTTATATAAAAAATTAAGATTTGAAGACAGCTTTGGATGTACAGATTTTAAAATAAGTTTAATTTCATCACACTGGTGGGATTATTATTTATGGTACTTTCAGTTATTAAGAATGCCAGAACTTAAAAAAAAAATTATCATTTTTTTTGATATCCCTAGACAATGAGCACTATGGATGAGCTCCAGTAACAGCATTGAGCAAGAACATGCACTCACACTGAACCTAGGACAAAGGACCCATTCTTTTAAGAAAACTATATACAAACCACCCTTGCTCTTCCCTAATATGCACAAAGTAATTACTGTACATGCAATATGAAAGACAATTTAGTAAAATTTTAATTTTCAAATTCAAAATCCATTTGTACAAAATTGGATGATATTACATAAATCACATAAAGCCCCTTTATTATGCAAAGCATTTTGGGCAAGCTTAAACCTAACTTACATCTAGAAGGATTATAATATTTTACATACACTTATAAGACCTTAATAATATTCACAGAAAAAATAATTCGTATACTCAATGTATATGAGTGATAAAATAATAGCAATGTACATGGAATAAGAACACTTAGATTGTAAATATTTTAAAAAATTATTTTTTCTTCAAAATAAAATCTTGAAAAAAATTTGCAAAAGGTAAAACTAGTTGCTGAATTAATAAAAAATATGATGAGAACGTATAGGGCCTATGAAATTACGTATTATGAAAGAAAATTTGGGGAGAACAGGACAGTATTGGATGACAAAAAGGGTTTTAGTATTTTTTTGAATAATAAAAATTTCATTGGATCACTTATTTTGGAGGGGTTTTAAAAACAAGAGCTTTGAAATGGCTAGCAAATTACGGAACCTCTGGAAAATTTAGGTCCCTTTTTTCCCCATTGAATTTTTGCACAGGTTGAGCTGGGCACGGGAAAAAGATTTTGGTGTACAGTCCTAGCCGTGTGTTCGGTTTTTCAGCTATCAAGAAAGTTTCGAGTGGGATTTAAATATTTGAATGATGTTTTATCAGGGAGTGATTAAAAATAAAAATTCTTAGTAAGTAATAACCCATTTATAAGGGTGTACCTTTTTTGTTGACCAGATTTCAGCCTCCCCTGTGTAACAGTTACCCCTGATCCCCATCATAGGTGGGGGCCCCTCCCTGACAGGGTGACTGAGCATGTTTCTTCACTGTGGTTGGGTTTGTCAGAGGAGGTTCAGGGGGACCTACAAAAAAAATCATTTTTTTTTTTTTTCATCTACAAAAAACAGTTTAGCCCAAAAAAAGGACGAGTAAAAACCCAAATTACTTATGAAGATGAAGTTTTTTATGTACTCGTTTAGGTATCACATGATCCGAAGTATCACATTTTAAAAAAAACTATAATTTATGTGGTAAACTCATCATTCAAATAAAGATAGTAATTTCAGAATTTGTTTACAAAAAAGAATTTATCTGACTAAAATGTAAGATGTGAAAAGAGAGAGAGAGGGGGATGATAGATTACATTTTCTAAGACTGTAGGAAGGCATTTGATACTGTATGCATGAAGGGGGGCCAAAAACATGAGATTCAGGTGGGAACAACAGGGAATGTACTCCAATGAATTAGTGTCTTTAGCAAGGTAAGCAAAGAGTGACTGTTGGGTAAGAGATGTCAGAATGAGGAAGAGTAACTATCAGGGTTAAGCAAGGGTCCATGTTAGTACAAGTAATGGGGAGAATAAAAACAGATGAGGACAGGGAAAGGCTCCAAAGGGGTCTGGACAAAATTTATAAAAAAAATGATTTTGATAAGTGGTTCTTTTAAATTTACCCCCCTAAAACAAGGTTGAAGAAGGAAGGAGCAAAACCGAAAATGGGGGTTTTTTTTTTTTGGGGGTTTGGGGTTTTTTTTTTTGGGTTTTTTCCCCCCTTTTTTTTTTGGGGTTTTGGGTCCCCCCCCCTTTTTTTTCCTTTTTTTTTTGGGCCTTTCCCCAATATGGGGGCCTTTAAAACCCCCAAAAATTTTTTTGGGGTTCAAAAAATTTTTTTAAAAAAAATTTTTTCCCCCCCCTTTTTTCCCCCCAAAAAAAAAAAAATTTTGTTTTTTTAAACCCTTTTTAAAATTTTTTTTTTAAAAAAAAAATTTTTTTAAACCCTAAAAAAACCCCCTTTTTTTTGGTTTTTTCCCAAACCCCCCCCCCCAAAAAGGGATTTTTTTTTTTTTAAAAAAATTTTCCCAAAAAATTCTTTTGGAAAATTTAAATTTTTAAAATTTTCCAAAAAAATTTAAAAAATTTTTTTTTAAAATTTTTTTTAAAAAAAAGGTTTAAAATTTAAAAAGGGTTTTTTTTCCCCCCCGGGGGAACCCCCTTTTCCTTTAAAAAAATTAAAGGGGGGGGGGAAAAAAAAACCCCCCCCCAATTTTTTTTTTTGGGGGGGGGTTTTTTTTTAAAAATTTTTTAAAAATTTTTTTTTTTAAAAAGGGAATTTGGGGGGTTTTTTTTTTTTTTTGGGGGGGGGGGTTTTTTTTTTAAGTTTTTTTTTCCCCTTTTTTTTAAAAAATTTTTTTTAAAAAAATTTTAAAAAAAATTTTGTTTTACCCCAAGTTTTTGGGTTTTTTTTGGTTTTTTTGGGGAAAATTTCCCTTTTTTAAAAATTTTTTTTTTTTTTTTCCCCCCTTTTTTTTTTCCCCAAAAAAGGGGGGAAATTTTTTTCCCTTTTTTGGGGCCCCCCCCCGGGGGGGTTTTTTAAAAAACCTTTTTTAAAACCCCCCCCCCCCAAAAAAAAAAAGGGGAAAAACCAACCCCCAATTTTAAATTAAAGTTTTTTCCCTTTTTAATTTTTTTTTAAAAACCTTTTTTTTTAAAATTGTTTTTTTTCCCCCTTTCATCAAAAAAAGTTTTTTTTTTTTTAAAAAAAAATTTTTTAAATTTTTGGGGTGTGGGGGGGGGGGGGGGTTTTTTTTTTTTTTTGGGGGGTTTTTTTTTTTTAAAAAATAATTTGGGGGGGCCAGGGGGTCCAATTCCCCCCTTTTTTAAAGGGAAAAAAAATTTTTAAAGGTTTTGGGGGAAAAAATTTTTTTTTCCCCCCCAAAAAGTTTAAAAAAAAAAAAGGGGGGAAAAATTTAAAAAAAAAAATTTTTTTTTTCCCCCCTTTTTCCCCCTTTTTAAAAAAACCCCAAAAGGGGGGCCCCGAAAAAAAAAAAAAGGGGGGTTTTTTTCCCCCCCCCCAAAATTTTTTTTTTTTCCCCCCCCAACCCCCCAAAAAATCCCCCTTTTTTTGGGGGAAATTTTTTTTCAAAAAAACCCCCGGGCTTTTTTTTTTTTTTTTAAGGGAAACCCAAAAAAAAATTTGGGGGCCCTTTTTTTAAAAAAATTTTTTGGGTTTGGGGTGGTTGGGGGGGGGGGGGGGGGGGGTTTTAAAAAAAAAAAATTTTTTTGGGGGGGGGGGGGGGGTTTTTTTTGGGGTTTTGGGGGGGGGGGGGGGGGGGTTTTTTTTTTTTAAAAGTTTTTTTTTGGGGGGGTTTTTTAGCCGGGGTTTTGGGGGGGGTGGGGAAAAGGGGGGGTTTTTGGGGTTTTTTTTTGGGGGGGGGGTTTTTTGGGGGGGGTTTTTGGGGGGGTTTTTTTTGGGGGGGGGTTGGTTGGGCCTTTTTTTGCTTTTTTTTAAAAAATTTTTTTTTTTTTTTAAAAATTTTTTGTTTCCCTTTTGGGGTTTGGGGGTTTTTTGGGGGGGTTTTTTTGGTTCTTTTCCCTTCCCCCGGGTTTAAAATTTTTTTTTTTTTAAAAAATTTTTTTGGGGGGGTTTTTTTTTTGGGGTTTTTGGGGTTTTTTGGGGGGGAAAAAATTTTACCCCCCCTTTAAAGGGGGGGGCCCCCCCCCCCCTTTTTCCGGGGGCCCCCCCCCCCCGGGTAATTTTTTTTCCCTTTTTTTTTTTAAAAAAAATTTTTTTCCCCCCCCCCCCCCAAAATTTCCCCGACCCCCTTTTTTTTTTAAAAAAAAATTTTCCCGGGAATTAACCTTTTTTTAAATTTTTTTTTCCCTTTTAAAGGGGGGTTCCCCCCCTTTTTTTCCCTTTTTCCCCGGTTTTTTTTTTTTAAACCCCCTTTTTTTTTTTTTTTTCCCCCCCCGGGGGTTTTTTTTTGGGGGTTTGCCCCCTTTTTTTTTTTTTTTTTTGGGGGGGGGGGGCCCCCCCCTTTTTTTTTGGGGTTTTGTCCCCCAATTTTTTTTAAATTTGGAATTTTTTGGGGGGGGTTTTTTGGGGGGGGTTTTGGGGTTTTTTTTTTTCCCCCCCCCCAAAAATTTTTTTCCTTTTAATTTTTTTTCCCCCAAACTTTTTTTCCCTTTTTTTTTCCCCCAAAAAAAATTTTTCCGGGGGGGGCCCCCGGGGAAGTTAAAAAATTGCCCCTTTTTTTTTTTCCCCCCTTTTTTTGGGGGGTTTTTTTTTTTTAAAATTCCGGTTTTTTTTTTTTTTTTTGGGGGGGTTTTTTTTTCCAAAAATTTCTTTTTAAAAAAAAATTTTTTTTTTTTAAAAAAAAATTTTTTTTTGTTTTTTTTTTTTTTGGGGG